CAAAGGAAGAATCTGCGCATAACCTAAACAATTGTGTGTATGCATCTCATTTGCATCATACTCCCCATTGATCCTTGATCCCATTCAAGTCGATCTTCTAAGTTTAGATCCTACCCCATAAGGAGGTCCTTTTATCTTTTACAACTTAGACAAAACAATTCAACAACTCAATTCAAACTATTCAAACATATTAGAGAATAAGATGTTAATCATCTTAAGCGAGATAAAAATTCTACCCGATAACAATTCAATCAATATGGAGGGACTTTGCCTTAGGAGAGATAGAGGCATACTTGTTTACAATCCGAGTACTTGAGCCATTCTCTTAAGACGATGCAAAGACTATTTTCCTACAAAGTTGTGGTGGTTAAATCAAGAAATCTCCCTTAAAATGACAACTCGTCTTTTCTCCTAGACCCAATCAATCAACTACCCTTATCCCGTAGGAACTTTGACCACAATCAAAGAACTCCTCAAACCTTTTAGGGGAACTATAGATACTTTGATTCCACTCCCGTCAGGATATGTAGGCACAAGATGCGATATCTTGTCGAGTATACTTAGATATAAACCCCTAGGTCTTTCATCCTTAAGCAGATAACCCTTAGCAATAAACAATATAAAACAAGAGGTTCCTGTAGAGTACTACAGAAACTTAGGATGCTAGCACCTTCCCTAAATTTAACCAACCCCCGAACCTAAACTCTCTAACTTTTGCATTTGCATTGCATTGTGGGTAATTCAATCTTTTTCCCTTCCTTTGGACAAATTAAAGTTCGGTTGCAAATGAATTACGATTCAAGCTCATCAATAGCTTGGTATCCAATTTTCACCGCGACAGATAACAAAGCCATCAACTTTTCTCCTGATGCGCCCAATGTAGTGCAGAATCTCATGCCAAGCTCTTTTGAAACCCTAATTTAGTGCCCAATGTAGTGCAGAATCCCATGCCAAGCTCTTTTGGATATATATATATATATATATATATATATATATATATATATATATATATATATATATATATATATATATATATATATATATATATATATATATATATATATATATATATATATATATATATATATATATATATATATATATATATATATATATATATATATATATATATATATATATATATATATATATATATATATATATATATATATATATATATATATATATATATATATATATATATATAATTATCCAATGATAAAATAAAAATATTTATATAATTTTGTTTAATAAATATAAATATTTATTAAACAAAATTATATATCAAAATATAATTATTCAATGCAAAAATAACAATATAAATACCATTTTGTTTAATAAATATAAAAATATTTATTTATTTAATAAACCCTTCTTTAAGGAAACTACCGTCCATTATTTTGGAATTGATCATCTGGCAAGCAGAGCATTAGTCCCAAGTAACCTCGATCAGAGTTTTCTGTATTATGCATTAAATACCATTTTGGTAAATCTGCCACATACCTACCTTAATTAATTCACCTTTGCAGCAAACTCATTCAGAATGAACTTGCTTAATTGAACATTCTAGAAAATAATGGAAATAAGAAGTCTCGTGAAGATTAGTCAAATAAATAGTAATAAACTTAAATAAATTCCTTGTATAAGTAAAATGTTTACCAAATTAATAATTTTATACCTCAACTAGATATAAGTTCTCCCATATTTTTCCCCAAAACTATGACTCGAGAAGTGTTCCCTAGGCGGCCAATACACTTTGAACAAGAAAATCAGATTACATGAACAAAACAAACAATATGAAATCATAATATTAACATTTATATATTGAGAAAGCACCTAACCCCTACTAAGCAACTAATCCCCTACTAAGAGCATCTCCAACCGTGAACCCATTTTTGGGTTATTTGTGGGACCTATTAAGCCACGTCAGCTTGAAGCAACTTAACTAATTTTTCACTCCAATGGTGCAACTCTGAAGAACTCATATTGGGTCCCACAACTTGACTTTATATATTAATATTTTATTCATATTAAATTTTATATCAGTTAAAATAATAATTTTAATTTTAGTGTTTTAAATTAAATTTGATATAAAATATAAAAAAAATTAAATTAAACTTATAATTTAAAATGATAATTAAAATTAATCTAAAATACATGATATATAATTAAAAACAATAAAAATAAATAACATCACATAATTAATCAAACTTAAATTTCATCATCTTCATGTCCAAAACGTTCCCAAATATGTTCGACTAGATCTCCTTGAAGTTTACGATGAACTTGTTTTTCTTGAATACTTGCTCTTCCTTGTAGTCTTGTTGCAAGATTCGGATGATGACCGCTAAATGTTTCAGTTGTTGAGTTATTGATATCCACATTAACATAAGAGTAATCAAAATTACCTCCATATGTATGTCGTTCGTCTTCCACAATCATGTTGTGCAATATGATGCAGGCATATATGGTATGCTTGAGAGTGTCCATGTGTCAGGCACGCGCTGGGCCACGTATAATTGCAAATCGAGATTGAAGCACTCTGTCGCACCCTAATTTTTGACCTTAAAATTCCACCTCCTTACGCATTTTGTTGCATGTCATCTAAGTCCAAGCATGCATAACTAACCATTTTAACCAGTTTGTCCGTTTTGCTCTATGAAGACAGGTTCGCTGCAATAGATTCAAGGCCTTGTGTGGGTTCTAATCTTTGCAAGATGTATCGAAATGAAGAATAGACATATTCCTATGATGATCCTTAGTCAAGGCAAGGCTAATATCCTCAAAGATTTAACCGGAGTTGCCCCCAATGACGACTAGGATCTCCTGTCTATTGAATTTCAAAGATATTTGTTTGAGAACTAATTAGAGTCTTATGGCAATGCGGATGTAGACTTTTCTCAACACGGTTCAATTTTGCTCAGGAAGTGGATTACTAGTTGTCAGACGGAAGGTTTTGAATACTGTTTAATTTGTAAATCACATGATTTAAGATTTTAAAGTTATTTAAGACTTTAAAATTGGAGGAACTCGGGATGGGGTGTAGGCAAGAACTCTGTCAAATTGAAGTTTAAATTGATCTATTACCCTTTTGCGTACTTCGAAGGAATTTTGTGCAAGTTGAGATCCGATTGAGATTACACCATGTGATTTGCATCAAGTTTTAGAGTGCCCTACTTCAATTCCAAGATTCATGTCATGTGAGGGGTAGTTGCATTTTTTTTAAGCACAAAGAAGTTTTCATTAAATAAATATAGTTGGACGTTATTTATGTGATTACATTCATGCTCTCACTATTTAAAGTTCAAGACCTCGTTCGCTGCAGGATAAGCCTTTTTGTTCAATCAAGGTATGTATTCTTGTTCACACAAAAGTTGAGAGATTTGTTAGAGATTCATAAGCATACAAGTTACAAGAACAAGCCCAGATTCATAACGGTATATCCCAATGAGATCACATGTTACAAAGCCTTAGATTATGAGTTCACAAGGACCACCAAAAAGACATAAGATTCTTATCACTAAGTTACATCAAAATGAATTATTCCTACAAATCTATAATGGCAGCAAGTGAAATTTACACGTTGCGATTACAAGAAGTTCTTGTCTTTAAAGATGAAAGTAAGTCCAGCCGGCAAAAGTCTGCATTGAGCCACCATGATGAAGGATGCTCCGTTGAATTTCTTCATACATAGATATACCCGGTCCTTTTAAAAGAAATCTAGTTCTTGGAAAGCTCAAAATAATAACCAATCAAGGTTCTCTCTTGCAAGGCAGGAAGAATCTGAACTTCGAACTTTTGATGCGCATCTGCCTTATGCGTTTAGCCAGCAACAGCCTAAGAGCCACACACACAAATCAGACTCGTATCTCAATGGCATAGATCATAAATTTTTTACATCTTGTTCTGTACATAACATTCAGAAAATGGTTGCAAATATGATTCCTAGTGTCAAATCAAAGTGGCCGAATGCTAGAGAACTGAATCTTTTAAAGCGCAAAGCAAAAAAATACCTCAAAGGACCAAACAAAGAGCTGGTGCGAAGATGGAACAGAGGCTTCAGGCACTCAAAATTTAACTTCAAAAGGCACGTGTCCTGATTCGGTAAATTATAGTAAGGCCTCCACACAAGTTAATCACGACGAATACGGATTTGAGCATGACGAAGAAGGACAATGGCCTTTCAGTACTTTTGTCGAGCAACTTATTATTGATATGTTCGATCCTGTTTGGGAGGTACGGCATGGTAGCGTGATGGCATTGAGAGAGATTTTGACACATCAAGGTGCTTCTGCTGGAGTGTTGAAACACGACCCACACTTGGGTGGGACCTCCTTTATGGAATTAGAAAACAAAAATACATCAAATATGTTGAAGAGAGAAAGGGATATTGATTTAAATATGCAAGTTTCAGCAGATGATTGTGTCTTGAACTTGAAGAAACCAAACTTGAAGATGCATCATTATCAACGTCCATGGATAGCGTGATGGCTTGCAGTAACGAAGGTGATACTGAAAACATCATTAGTTCTGAAACACAGGGATACACTATACCTCTGGATTATGGAAATGGAAAATTTGATGGTAGCTTCGTTGACATGAATATGGAAACTCACTATGATGATTTACATGACACATACAAGGAACCTGCTAATATAGCAGACCAGAAAGGTTATTCTGATGACTAAAAGATGCTCTCTGGAAACCATAATATGCTGAGAAATCTTCCTTAGAATTGCAAGCTGATGAATTCCGTCAAAGTGGCTAGAAGTTCCTGGCTTCGGAAATGTGACTTTCTTCATGACTGTGTCATACGCCTTTTTGTGTATTGTCACTTGATCACTTTGGAGATTATGTATCTAATCAGGTTGTTGCGCCAGTGCGAGAAACCTGCGCACATGCATTAGGGGCCGCATTTAAGTATATGCATGCTGCACTAGTAAATGAAACCTTGAACATATTGTTGAAAATGCAGTGTAGTCCAGAATGGGAGATTCGTCATGGCGTCTTCTGATCCCAACAAGTTGTTAACCAAAGCTGATAAGCTAACAAAACTCAGTCTCACTAGGTGGAGTGTTGATTGGAAGACTGCTACTGATCTTTATGAACAGGCTGCTATTGGGTTTAGAGCTTCCAAGAACCATGAGAAAGCCAAGTTGGCTTATGAGAAAGCTTCGCAAGGACAAGAGATGCTTTCTTCACCTTGGGATGCGGCTAAGCACATGGAATCTGTTGTTGCTCTGGCCAAGGAGCTGAGCAACTAGAGAGAAGTTGGGGACTTCTATCAAAAGGCATCTCAGTTATACATGGAGTGCGGCAGACCACAACCTGCATCGGATGCTCTTGCAAAGGGAGCTCGTGCTTTAGAAGATACCATACCTGAAGAAGCTATTCAGTTATATACGGATGCCTGTACAATTCTTGAAGAAGATGATAAGGAACAGATGGCCTTTGATCTATACCGTGTTGTAACTAGTGTTTATATAAAACTTGAGAAATATACATATGCCATATCTTCCCTGTTGAGATTGGGCTTGGCGGCTGACAAGTGTAAGGCTACCAATAGTCAGTCCAAGGCTTATCTTAGTGCCATTATTGTCTACCTTTACGCTCACGACTCTCAGCAAGCAGAGAAGTGCTATAATGACTACTCTCAGATTGGAGCTTTTCTCAAAAGTGACCACAATCGTTGTGCTAGCAAGTTTCTTGCTGCTTACTCAGATGGAGACGTCGACGAAATCAAAAAAAAATTGCTCAGTCTAGTGTTGTTTCCCATCTTGACCATGCAATCATTCGACTCGCGAGGAAACTTCCAACTGGTGATGTGAGTGCATTGAAGACTCGCCCCTGCCAAACAATAATTCGGAGTTAGTAATCCATTAAAGGAATATACCTGTTTGAAAAAAGATCCAACTCAAGGCAATGAACCTAGACAGCCAGAGCATTTAACGTGATTGGCAAAATCACACAGATTAGGATTCTCATTAACAGACATACTAACGTAATCAGACAGAAGAGGAAATTTTCCAAATATCTGTCTAGACCAAAACAGAAGGTCCAAAACAACATTTAAGGCACACAATCAGAGTTTAAACACTGAGATACTCAGTGAAGCCTATAAAAGGGGATTCAAAAAAAGAGGAAAAAACCCCTAGTGCTGTGAATCGGAAAAGAAGAGAACTTATCTATGTTCGTTTAAAACCGCAAACCGCCCTCGCCGTCGATGGAGCTTCTTCAAAATCCTCGCACAGATCCGTGAATCATCCGCAACAGCAAAACAAAAGACCTGCAAAAAACTCAATTCAAATATGAAATTTTTATTTATTATTAACATTGTTCTCAATTAACTTGTTTTTTTATGGATTGAAGGAATACACAGAGAGATTCATACCAAACCCTGACAGAATGCACCGCATTTCGCGAACCGGAAGCCCTGCAAACCATCGCGAAGAGAAGGACTTATCTTCTCAAAACTCTGACGCGAACCTTCAACAAAGTGTCGTCGCCGGGACCCCCAAAATCGCACCTCCGCGCCGTCCGCGATTCATCCACAGCCAAAACTTGAAAACCATTGAAAACGTTGAGCTTTTCGACTAACATTCACTCTGTTAACTTTGTTGATTGTTTTTTGTAGGAAATCCAAAGGAGAACGTGAATCGAAGAAGGCGAAACGAGAAAAGAGTTGGAACAAAAGGGAGATTGACGAGAGAGAAAGAGGGAGTTTACGACGTCGTTTCGATCTGATTTAGGATTTTCTAATCCCTAATTTTTTGCCTTCTACTGTTGGGACAAGTCAACCCGGGTTCGGTGGGCTGACCACCATCGACCCGGTTTTTTTTATTTTATTTTATTTAGTTTTTGTTTATTTTATTTTATTTGGGCTAAGTTCATTTTTGTATATGTAATTGTTTATTATTAATATTAAACATTACTAACAAACTAACCAATCACTAACTATTGACTAAAGTAAAAATTTGAAAATAATTTTTTATTAAACATTAAGAAATAAAGAAATGATTAATTTTTAGGTTTGATTAATTTTTAGGTTTGATATTGACTTAGTTTTATTTTAATATTCTTAACTTCAATTCATCAATAATATTTTGATTTCAATTTATAAAAATAACAAAATCTCACCTCTCTTAATGATATATTCAAAAATCCATAAAAAAATATATATATTAAAAATCCAAGAGAAACTCTTTTTTTAAATTTCTAATTAGCTAACTAATTTGGTTTAAGTAAAATATAACTTTTTTTTATGATTTATTTAATCTTTGTTAATTAGTATTTCTCCTCAAAAATAACCATTTTTTTTTAAGATTAACCATTAAATCAACACCTTATTTATCCTAACGGTTCTAATTACATAACTCATCAAAAATAATCATAAAAAATAAATAAACCCTTTTAATTTGCAAATTAATTTAATTTCTAGGCATATTTTCATCTCAGCCATAAAATTCTCAAAAAAGGAAATCTTTAACCTCAACTCCTAACTTTTAAGTTAACTAAATCAAACAATTCATCCATATCTTATCACATTGCTTATTATTTTACATTTTCAATCACTTACTGCTTTAGTTTTCTGTTTAACGTTTATCCTCTCCGAAGGAAAGGTTCACATGTTTGACCCCCGTGTCAATACCTTTACCCTCACCCTAGCCTTAGGATTCGAGTCCCCGTACTCACCTTTTAGGCGTCCCATCGTGGACATACCTTCATTCTTTTCAATTCAACTTTTAACATAGATAGGAGTCTCCACACTCCAAGTAAGCGTTTCCATATGAAAGCTTATTTCCCGTAGGGACTTTGACCACAGTCAAAGAACTCTTTAACCCTTTAGGGGAACTACGGATACTCTGATTCCACTCCCGTCAGGATATGTAGGCACAATATGCGACGTCTTGGCGAGTATACTTAGGACTAACCCCTTTAAGTCCTCCTCTTTACTTTTAACCCTTAACATTACCTTAAGCAGATAACCTTAGCAATAAACAAACATACAACAAGAGGTTCCTGTAGAGTACTACAGAAATTTAGGATGCTAGTACCTTCCTTAAGTTTAACCAACCCCCGAACCTTAGATCTCTCCATGCATTGTGTTTACAATGCAAAATAGGTTTTCCTTCCTTTAACCTTTCCCTCGGATAAATCAAAGATCGGTTGCAAATGAATTAAAGATTCAAGTTAATCAATAGCTTGGTATCCAAATTTCACCGCGACAGAAATGGCGACTTCACTGGGGATCCTTTAGTGGGTTTTCCTAACTTGTTTATTTTTACTTGTTTATTGTTATATTTGATTATCTGCTTATTTGTATAGTTGTTTATCTATTTACTTTTGGGTTATCATCTTTGAGTGGTGAGACAAAGTCCTACACCCGGACTTGAGAGAAATTAAGATAGGATGGTGATATATTCGACGAGGCTTATAGGGAGTTGAGTCCCGACTAAGTTAAATCGAGAATCCCGCTCAATTGAGGCCCTCTTGAAATAGTACTGTTGAACGAGTAATCGTGAAGACACTCACTATTTTCGACCTTGGAGCCTATGATATTGAGGATCGTAGTTACCTTAAACCCACTTTGGCTTTTATTAGGACGTAGTGCGGGACTATGAGGGAGTACTCCCGAAATAGTGCTACGCGATGCTACACTCAAATGAAGTTCTCTTGAGAATATTATTAATTACCGAGTTAGTTGGGAAGTTGATAATATCCGAAAGATGGGCTGATGACTTTGGGAACCTCTTTAGAACCTTGTTCTGCAGGTACAATCCACCTTTAGTCTGCGTCCTTTGGGAATGGGTATACCTTTGGCTCCATGCTCGTTGCAAACCTAGGGTCTCCTTGTTTGTTACCCTTATGTCCTTATGTGATTACTTATGTTTGTGCATCCTTGCATTCATATAGCATCATATTGCATAGGTCTCATGGAATCCGACTTTATTTATAAACATTGTAGGACCAACATGGATTACAAAAGAAAATACTTTGATACATTCTTTTAAGAGCCCTAATTTGGATGTCCTAAGGAAGATGGAAGCTCTGTTTGAGGATCAAAGAGAGTTTAAATACAAAAACAAGGGACCCTTATTATTCCTAAAGATCCGACAAGAAAAACAAGAGATAGAGGATTTATTTTCCTTTTATCAGACTACTCCTTGGAATTTGATCATGGACAAGCTTGTACTCAAAAGGTCCAGCTAGAAGAGCAGTTCAAGAAGCAATACAAGACTTCCTTAGGACTTTATCAGCTTTTATTTAGCTCTTTTAAGATATTCATTTGTAATCTGATAGTAATTTTTCTTCGGTATTCTGTAAACATTTATAGTTCCATGAAACCTTTCATCCTACATTCTACATTTTGCATCCTTCATTTAGCATGTGCATGTGTCTCTTCTTTGCTGCGGCTCATCCAGTCTTCTGTCTTTGCCTGTCATTTGACATCTTGACCATCCGACCAAACTCGAAGCAGTCATTGAAAGATAGTAAAGAGAACTAAAGATATGGATCTCATGATTGGCTTTAAGGTGATAACTAATCCTATATATGATCTTCCATCTGATGACAACATTCAACAAGTGGGTGTCCCTACACAATCTCAGTTTGTGCAAGATAACCTATGTGTTCAAGTTGATAAAACGGATTCCCCGTTTCCACAGTGCATACCAAGAATGTTCATACTGAGATGAACGAATCGAACACCAGATGTTAATTTCATAAAGGAATAATGGGGCATTAGATTGAAGAATGCGAGGTAAAGTTCAAGAGATGATCGACGACGAATTGGTGACCTTCAGAAGAGAAAGCTCGGTCTTGAATGAAACACTGTCGTGTTGATAAAATTCTTTAGAAGGGTTGTCATGCAGTTCATCTTGTTTGCTTATATGTATTTTATTTCTCTGATTATAAAAGCATAATTGGCATGTAGGAACTTGTTTTTTCTTGAACGATAATGCATTAAACATGTTTGTCTTGAAGAAATCCATTCGTTTCACTCATAAAATTATTTTTCATAATTTATAAAGTCAACTTTACCCAATCTCTTGCTTTGACAGAGAATTGGGAGGAGGATGACGAATAAAAACGTAAAAAAAATTTCCTGTCATATGCTTTTGAATGAAACCCTGCTGATGATGTAAGGCATTGTTTCAAATCCTAAACACTGGAGATATAAGGAAGATAATCCCTCTTTAACCCCTTTGAGCCTTGAAGTAGGAATTTTTTTTCTTTTCCGCAAAAACCCTCAATTGTAACCTGG